ATCCATATGTTCTGGTTTCTTATCAGCCTTCTTATCATCCTTATGTTCTGATTTCTTNTCAGATTTCTTATCATCCTTCTTGGTTTCAGATTTCTTATCATCCTCATCATGTGATTTCTTATCAGATTTCTTTTCATCTTTCTTGTCATCAGATTTCTTTTCCTTATCAGATTTCTTATCATCCTTATGTTCGGATTTCTTATCAGATTTCTTATCATCCTTCTTGGTATCAGATTTTTTATCAACCTTCTTTTCATCCTCATCATATGATTTCTTTTCAGATTTCTCATCCTTCTCTGATTTCTTTTCATCATCATGTGTCTTCTTATTATCCTTATCAAGTTTCTTATCAGTCTTCTTTTCATCCTTATGATCTGATTTCTTATAATCCTTCTTATCTGATTTATTTTCATCATCGTGTGTCTTCTTTTCATCCTTGTTGGCTTCGGATTTATCGAGCGGATTGGCCTTCTTATCAGATTTCTTATCATCCTTATGTTCGGATTTCTTTTCATCCGTCTTTAAATTTGATTTTTCTGATGATTTGACTTGCATTTTGGAATCTGGTTTGGAAGTTTCAGAATCCTTTTTATGCTCAATAGATTCCTTCTCATTTTCTTCTGATTTCTTTGAAGATTTCTTCTTTACATCATCCTTATCAGATTTCTTATCGTTCGCCTTGTTTTTCTCATTGGTCATCTTGTCAGAATTTTCAGATTTCTTATCTTCCTTATGTTCAGATTTCTCGTCATCCCTCTTTTTATTCGTTTCTTCTTTATCATCTGCTTTCTTTTCAGATTTCTTTTCGTCCTTCATAGAATCATCCTTATGCCCTGCCTTGTCTTCCTTCTTTTCTGATTTCTTGTCATTGGATTTCTTGTCATTAGATTCCTCTAACTTCTTTCCTGCGGATTTCTTGGTATCGGTCTTGGATTTCTCCTTATTTTCATTTAACATCTTGTCATCCTTCATATCCGATTTCTTCTTATTTTCATCCACCTTCTTTTGGAGGTTTTCTGATTTGATTTGAATTTTGTTATCATCCAGTTCATCATCCTTATGTTCTGATTTCTTTTCAGATTTCTTATCATCCTTCTTGGCTTCAGATTTCTTCTTTTCAGAATTCTTTACATCATCCTTATGAGAAGATGTCTTTTCTTCTTTCTTTTTTTCAGTCTTTGACTTGATATCAGGTTTCTTTTCATCAGATTTGACTTGTTCCACCTTGGTGTCTGGCTTTGATTCTTCAGATTTCTTTTCAATCTTGCTAGATGTACTCTCTTTCTTGTGTTCAACAATCTTTTCAGGTTTTGTTTCTTCCTTGCTATCAGATTTCTTATCATTAATAT